AGAAGATCTTGCTTAATTTGGACCTCTTTGATCTCTTTTTGTTCCTCTTTTCTTAGCCATTGTAGATCTACACATCTCCTTCCCCTCTGGTGTTGAACTGAAGCCCTTGTTAGTGAATTCCCTTATCACATCATCAAGTGGTATTGCATCTGGTTTGACTATTTCTTTAGCACATTTAAAGCACATAACCAGGGTCTCTTTTTCTCTGGGACTAAACCTACTGTGAACTAAGATTTTCATATTGGGGACAATCCTTTTTGTGTTAACTAACAACTGACAACCTTCTTGTCTCCCTGCATATTAGTAGAAACCGCATTAACATTTACTTCTTTAGGAAAATAATTTTTATCTACTCCCGTGGTTTTGTCTTCCTTTGTGGCATATTTAAGCATTCTTTTTTGGATTAAGTTTTGTACACGACTCCTTTTTTTTTTCAAGTAAAAAGATTTTATTTTTTTAAAAAAAAGAATTACAAGAATTAAAGAACAAACTGTTTAGGAAAATTGACAAAAAAAATGTCTTTAATCCTACAAGAGGACTAAAACCATTTTTATTTACAATTCTTGTACACGATTCCTAAAGGTGATGCATTTTTTGGCAAAATGCATAAATGAATTATGACATTTGCAATATTCTTTTCTTTTTTTTGTCTTTTTCTGGTGGGATACTATGTCCTTGAGATAGGGGTATGATCTTTTGTCTAACCATCTCATCAAAGAGAGCATCAGCCATTGACAAGTCAAATGAATATTGCCTAGAGGTTAGAGGTACATCATTTTTAAAAGAATGACTAGAAATCATATTGACTGGGTCTTCAATCTTTTTTAAGGTGTAACATATGATTGGTGTCTTTCCTATGATTTGTGTCACATTTATCCCAACCTCTCCATCGAAGTCTTGAAAATAAGTTCCTAATGAACCATTCTTTCTCTACTGCTCTTCTCTAAGTAACATTTCATATCTAGTGGACCAACCTTAGAGTTCAAAAAAATCTCTGAACTCCATTCCCTCAGATTTCTTTCTTAATTTGAAATTTAAACCATTCTTGACCAATTTTACCAATTTCACTTCACACAAGTAAACATGACATTTGTTTCTAACCTTGTTGAATCTATCGATATACTATTTTGAAAATTCATTCTATCTATGCCTTAGTCTTAACAAATCTATCATTGACACTTCTGGTTCATTTCTAAAGAATTGAAAATGAAATTGCTCTTCCATCTCCTACCACATTTGGATTGAATTAACAAACAATTTTATGAACCAAACAAAGGTCGTACTTGTTAGTGATTGTGGGAATAACTTCATTGTTTCCAACTTTCCTACATTGGAAAGTGACCTTTCGTACATGTTCTATCATTGACTAATTCTCTTCGCCAGATAAGAGATGGAACTTTGAGATCTTATATCTCCTTGAAAATTCATCATAATCAATCCATGGTGGGTAAGGTTTTCTGAACACAAGTCTCTTTGTTTTTCTAAGGTCAGGACCATAAAGGTCTTCAATCATTTTTACTAGTTGGTTTTTGTTGAAAGCCATAGTCTGGTGGCCTTCAGTGTGTTCAACTTGATGGAAAGGTTGCCCCTTATTCTTAGATTGAGTTCCTCTATAGGTTCCATTGGAGGCATGGCATGCCTCTAACAACCTCTTCTAGGAAACTCAAGGGCCATCCTTAGCCCATTTCTTCCCCTAGGATTTCTCCTTAGGAAGAAATTTGGGAATACTTCGATAGGCACCTCATCGAACACCATGTTACTGATGGTGGTCTTTGGTTTGCTACAGGAAACACCACAAGACCGGTGTTTTCCTTCCTCCACCACTTGGTTCCTAATTGCAATATTTGATTTCTAATTAATTGGTCCTGACATTGGTGTCTGGACATTCATCAACTCATGCATGACATTAACTAACACTTGTCTAATGCCAGAATTAAGATTGTGAAGTACCTGTTTTAAATTCTATACAAACTCTTGCATCTACAAACTATCTTGGCTATTGGATTGGTCATTTTCGGATTTGCAGACTCCACTGGATTGGTACTCAAACTTTCTTCATGATTGCCACTTGTTGGCGTCATTTTCCATAGTTTCATTAGTTCCAAACATGATTTCATCTTGTTTCCTCATTCTCGCTATTTTCCTTGATCCTAGTTAGGAATATTGTCCAACCGGGTGTACCAAAAGATTGTTGCTCCAAAATATGCTATTATCGACATAAGAGATTCAATCGACAGACAGTTTTTGGGTGATTGCTAGTGATGGGTTCAATTGTCTTGTTTTCAAGACTTATTTGGATGAAATTTAGAGCAATAAGCACACAGAATCGTGAATTAATAAAATATAATCCCTTTATTAATTCAATCGAAGATTTTCAGTTACAAGAAAACTGAATTAACAACTTTGATTACAGATGTAATTACTTTCAAAAACTAACTTAACACTATTTCTAAAAATATCTAGATCGTGGATTTTGTGGGAGTTTGAATGTATCCCTCAACTTTCTCATTCTCTACTTTCTATAGCCATTATCTTCGATTGTGCTGTCTCCATCGACAATTATCTGACTCATAATTCTTAGGCAGTTATTCTCTTTTCAAATAAGGTTGTGTTTGACTATTTCTCGTCTTTTCTCAAATTCTGTCACGTGATATATTTTTTAATATCCCTAATTCATTAGGTGTTGGTGTATCAAATATTCTTATAATTTTATATTTTAGGTCCAAATAATTATTAATTTATTATGTTTTTTCATTATACGATCAGTTGACCCAACGGTTTAACCAATAAACTATTGATCTAGTCTTTCTTTCAATTTGATGTCCACTCCAATTCTAATAAGACGAGAACATAGTAGTCCTGAAGTGTTGGAAAAGTGGGGAAAGCCAATGACACCTTGGATGTAAATGGGGTCACTGTAGACACGCCCTCAAGCCGATTGAGTCATTGTCCGATTCTAATTCCAGTAAAGGTTTTTGACAACGATTCTGGAATATAACCATCATAGATTGAAGAATCATTACTCGAAAATGTTCTCTATGAATCACCTGTTGGTTCATTGAAAAAATTGTTGTATAGATGTTTATGCTTCCATTTCAGCACATATGCTTCTCAAAAAGTTGTAAATGACCCACAACATACACACCCACATGCGTACTAAAAGGCAACCACTTTTTTTTATTTTTTCTATAGACAACCACATATTCTCTTAAATTCTGAGTCGGCCATCACAATTTGAACTAATTTAAAAATGTCTCCCAAAAAATGAGGGTGGTTGAACCTTAAGGGGTGTGAAAAGTATCGAATTTAAGATTTTTTATTTATAAGAAGTTAGACTTAATCACTAAACCTCCCTAAAGATTAAAGGTAACCAGTAACCACCCATTATTCATTCACAGTTGCTACAAATATTAGGTCTACCAAGAAACACTGCTTGTCTTTTTTGAATTAAATTGGCTGTCTTTCTTGTTGTGTACATAAATTTCTTTCAGAATTGTTAGTTCTGTGGCAAGCAAACGACCCAATTTGTCTCACCTCAAGTTATTATTATAAGTATTTAGTTAATAAGCACAAATTCATGGCACAAATATAATCGTGTGTTTGGATATGTTTACCTTACGAATTATCAGGTGAAACTTTGTCGAGGACCTCGGGTTATCGAATCAGCTTCATTTTTTGAATATATATATACTAGTTATTGTATGTGCCTAAAAGCATAGAGTAATAAAAAATAATAAACAATAAACATATTTGTATTCATATACAAAATTAAATCACAAACATAGAGGAGAAATAAATGATTTTAAGTATCATTTATAGTAAGGGTGAGAGGTGGTAGATGACAGTTGTGATTGTAAGAGACGGTGATGGTTGTGGTGGGTGGCAATAACCATGATAGCGGTGGTGGTGGCGGCAGCAACAATGGCGACAACGACGACAGTGACAGCAGCGGTGGTGGTAATGGTTGTGGTGGCGGTGGCGCGAGGGTGGTGGTGTTTGTGGCTGCGACGACGGTGGTGGTGTTTGTGGCTGCGACGACGGTGGTGGTGTTTGTGGCTGCAACGACGGTGGTGGCGGTGGCAACGACGGTTATGGTAACTACGACGGTGATAATGGCAGTGGTGGTGGCGGTGGGGTGATGGTGGTAGAGATAGTTGTGCAGCGGTTTCAAACACTATTTTTTTTTAAGTATTTATGAGAAATAATTTTTAAAAATACTTTTAAAAAGTTATTTCAAACACACCCTTAAGAACATATTTTTCCTATTAAATTTGGAGTGTTAATATTAACCGTTAGATTAACTTTAAAGTAAAATTTAAAACGATCACAATCGCGAATAGTAAAAATTATTTTATTTATCTTTTGCGATTTGAATTATAAACTATTTTATTATATAAATATATCCATTTTGTCACTTGTTAGAAAAAATAATTGAGCTGCGAAGTAGTTTAAGTTCAATTCGTTCTTACAAAAGCTAGTCACCTTTGCATTTTTAGAAATATATTCTAATTCAACTCAAACAACAACGGTGGTTAGCCATCGAACCCGATTACATGAACAGCACAAACGTGAACGCCATATTTAAAAAGAAAAAAAAAAACATTCTTTTTTCTTGTCCTTTCTCTAGTAATAAATTTTTGGCCCACCTTCACCCCAAGTTTTACGATCAGCATTATGACCAATCACTATTTTATTTTATTTTTTTCCTCAAATGAAGGCATGGTCCCTTTGTGCAAGTCAACATCACCTTCATATAAATTTTTTTTGATTAGTTCAACGAGCAGAAGTATTTGAATTGATTTATGAGTATTTTAATTATTTTTTTTTAATTTAATCAAGAAAAAAGTTATTTACGTTAAAACTAAGATATTCATAAAAAAAATTATTAAGATATAAATTTAAAATATTTATATTTATGATACATTTTTGTTATCATTTTTTAATATAAACCGATACCACAAGATTCATGTAATATCCTTTCCTGTCAAAATTTCTCTCTCTCTTATACAGAGTACAAATTTAGCTTCAAAAAAAGATCATAAATTAAGATCTGTTTTTCGTCCTTACGTGAAGCACCCATTGACCTGCTGGGCTTAAGTGATACCGTAATTTCTTCATGTATACAGATCTTTCTTAAGATTAGGGGGGTGCTTACATCTTACCCTCTTCAGATCTCGTGGACGGGAGCGTCCTAGCAGTTTGGGATTGAAGCAGAGAAGAAATCATGGAGGAGGAAGGTCATGATATGATCAGCAACCTACCATCTGAAATTCAGAAGCTCATTGTTTCATCGATCCCTTTGAAAGAAGCAGTAAGAACAAGCATTCTTTCAACTACATGGAGAAGCCTCTGGACACCATTACAAGTAAATCTGGATTTGGGGTCAACTCAGATTACCAGTCATGAAGCGACTGAGAAGCTAAAAGAAATTATGGGTATGTTCTTAAGGTCCAATGATAGTCCTCGACTGTTGAAACTCTCTATCATCTCTCCCAAGAACACTACAGTTTCTGCAGAATTTGTACATGAAGGCTTTGCTATGGCCATTAAAGGGACTGATAAGGACCTTCAAATCGATTTCGCGAACGCCAAGCAAGCTATATGTGATTTCAATTTGATACTAAACCCGAGTTGTCCGAGTCACCGTCATATTCATTCTATGCAGACAACTAGCTTTTCTTCTCTCAAGACCCTCCACCTTACATCAATCACCCACCTCGCAGAGAACTTTGTGTCATCCTTGTTCTCTAGTTTTTGGCTTCTTGAGAGCTTGAAGCTTGAAAAATGCAGTGGACTGCGAAAGATTGATATTAAAGGAGCTAACAGTCTTCGGAATTTTGTGATGAAGGATTGTCCAAATATAATCAGTATTACACTTTCTGCACCTAATCTCAAATCCTTCTGGTACAGAGGAGTCCTTCCAAACATTGAGCTGAAGAACACTCCATACCTGGTTGATATGGTGCTCGATTTGAAGGATGGTTCAGGCCAAAACGAATTCGACTGTGAGGATGTTCTTTATTTTCTATCCTCTCTCAAGGACATTGAGATTCTCACCATAAGCGGCTGGCTTCTTGAGGTATAGTTCTTTCGATCTACAAACTGGTGAATTATTTTAGTCACCTATGAAAGAAAATATTTAGGAATAAAAATAGAGAAGAAATTAAGAATTTGACTCTGCAACATGGCTTTTTTTTTTTCTGAACTGTCACGGGTGTCCGGGCTAGTTTATGTATCTCAACTACTCCTTTCATTAGTCCGGTTAAAAATAGGTCATCCAAATCGGAGCTAGAGAATTTATGAGAGATATGGTCAGACTCCAAGAAATTGTCAAGATTTGAATTCAAAAGATCTAAATTTATAGTTCGTCCATGTTACTACTTGAGTTAATACTTGAGATACTTTTGAGTTTGAAACATTGGTTTCCATAAAAAGGGGAACACTAATGTGATAATTTTTTTCTATTTAGAGAATGAACTTTCAGTGGTTTTGATGGTTTCGAAACAAAATTTGCATCCTTGTCTACAAACCCGTTCAAAATCATTATTGGATAAGCTTTGTTTCCTTATTTTTCATGTTCTCTGTAAAATCATGCCCCATTCGTTATGTGACACTATTTTTTTTTTGGTTGTGTAGTGGTTGTGTGGTGCAGGGGTGATCTTTGAACGGTTGGATTTCGGATTGAACAAATTGAAGGAATTGTGCTGCCTATATTCTCTAATGAATAGGCCACTGCGTGATTCGCTTGCTTGCTTCTTAAACATGACACCAAACTTGGAGAAGTTGTTTGTTAATGTGAGTGTTTCTCTACACCTAGTCTATACTAGTTGGTATGACTTTTGGCACTAATAACAATAGTCGTCGACGAAAATTTATTTTCCACGATAAAGAAGGTTCTTTTTTTTCTTTAACTATCGGGGTGTTTAAGTCAGATTATGCACACTTTGACTAATTTCTTTCTCGATTCGATCAAAAGAAGATTATGCGTACCAGAATTAGGGTATTCATGAGGGATAAATCTTTCATTACTTGGTCAAAAAGGTTACCAGGATTCAAATTTAGGACGTTTGAGTTTACAACACATCTATATTATCACTTGAACTATCTCTTAAAATTATAAACGTAAGATTTTTAGAGACATCAGCATTAATCATTTCTAAAAGATTGTGTCACGTAAATAAAAACGATTTGCAAATGCTTTTTATGTTATTATCGAGGATTATTCTTTCCCATTGCCAAAAATTTTGCCAAATTCAATAAAATTGTTGAACAACTTCCTCAACTCGAAATACTTTCGAATTTTAATTTTTGTTTTTTTTGGCTTCTTAATATGCAGATTGACCAAAGCTACATTCGAATCCCATGCCCATTTTTCCACCAATACTGGCATGAGCCTCACTTATGGATGGACTATGCAACTGTGAAATGCAATGCTGCTCAACTCAAACATCTCAACATTATAAATCTTTCTGGTTTTACAAGTGAAAAGGATCAATTACTATTAATGGATCTTTTGCTTCACAAAGCTCTCAAACCCGAGTCGATGACTGTTTCATCACCGGAGAATCGTTCATGGTCCGTTGCAAAGATTCCCCAGACCCATCTAAACATGACACAAAGATTCCAGCAAAAAGTTGCTGTCGCTTCGCCGGCAAACATGGCATACTCTTTTGTATTGACAGAAAAGAGAGAAAAAAAAACAATAACGTATGCACAAAAAATGGCCGGTTTTTGTTATAGTAGACTTTGTTAAACCCACCCCTCTCCCTCCTTTTGTTCTCTTAACTACTTTCTTGTGAAAGTTCAATGAAAAAGAGAGAGAGAGAGAGATAACAACTGTCCAAAGAAAAAAATAAATTGTATAAATGATCCACTTGGTGCTTCTGTGGTTGTTTCTTACTTTAATTTCAGGCCCATATGAATTTTTATAATGCTTTCTTAAAGTCATAATTCATTGACTAAGTCAACCACTAAAAGGACATGTTTTTGAACAGAGCTAAAAGGACGTGTTGACAACTCAAAGGATAAGGATAACCATCTTTTAAACCGTGCATGATATTTGCTCCTCCCGTTCTTAAATATACGTTGTTTACATAATTTTTTTTGTTTTATAATATCAATCGTTTAATGAATTCAAAATATAATTAATATTTTTTCTTTCAAATTTATCCTTAACTTTTCAATGTATTAGATTAGATGGAGGCTAAGTGTCTTTCATATTTCTTTCCTTCTCAATACGTATTGAATAAAATATTTTAATCTTATATAATTATTTTTAATTCATATTAGAGCTATTTAATAGCTTCTTTAATCTTTATGCAAAAACCTTAAAGGAAAGATATTTAATAACGGAGAGAATATATAATAAAATATATAGCGGAATTCATCAGTATCGAATAAGGTATCGTACCGTCAATTACAACTATTTAAACTTAAGTTATAATTTTTTTTGAGGTATAAGTTATAATTTTTAAAAGTCATGATTGATTAAGATTAACACCGAATTATAACTTTTGGAGAAGTCTACGATTAATCATATGTATCTGTGATCAATCATGGTCCTTTTGAACAGTTGTAACTTCTCTTTTATAAGTTATAATTTTATCAAAAAAAAATAGTAATCAGTAATACGGTACCAAAGTCGGTACCGTAAAATTCCCCAATAAAATATGAGTTATTTTAAAGTCTTTAATTTAGCACAGTATAAGAGTAATTGAAAATTTACTCTGCTCGTACCTTTTCACGATAATCAAAGGTGGAAAATTCTACCTACCCCACCCGTTTAAATGGTGGGATAAGTTTTGAATTGAGTAATTATATAAAAAAAAGAAAAAACAATTATTATTTCATATATTTACACTCCACAACTGATATTAAATTTATTTGTATTATCTAGTGCCTTTAGACACAAATTATTACTAATTAATTAATAAAGAAGCCACAAAAGTGAGCCTAGTTACAGCAATTTGGAATCAACATTTCTTTTTGTAGGAGCTGATAGCACTAACTTTCTTTCCTGTTTCACATAAAATTAAGGAAGACAATGGGTTTATTTGTTCATGGCAGTGGGCAACAAACGCCAGTACACAATAGACTAAAAAATAAAGCAAATTTAGAACATAATTGTGAGAAAAACAACCACAACATTGATAAAAATATCGGTAAAAGTGATAAAATTTTTAGTTATAAAAATAACTCACAAAAATAATAAAAAAAATACCATTAAAATAGTAAATTTTTAAAGGAGTGGTACCAAAAATTTTTTGTGGATACCGTTGAGTCCTAAACATATAATTGCTTTGTTTGATTTGTGCGGTGATCTTGAAAACACATATTAAGCCTTCACATGTGGAGTGGAACATGGGCGGTCGCAAATTAAAAGCCTTTTAATGCACTTGTTGAGTAGGTAAAGGTGGGAATAAATTAAATAATCCAAAAAATAAAAATATGTCATATATATATATATATATATATATATATATATATATATATATATATATATATTCAGGGGTGGGGCCAGTGCACCTGGCCCAAGGGTAAGACTGCTAGTTGAATGATTCTGAGCCGAGTTCAAATCGAGCTTAAAAAGTCTGTTTTTTAATTGAACCTAAAAAATTGTTCAAATTCAGCTTGTTTCCTAAACGAGGCGAGACTGAATGAGCTAAAAACAAGTCGAATCCGAGTCAAACTCAAGTCTTTGCACATAAAAGAGTCGAGTCTGTAGAGTTTGAATAGAATTTATAGGGCTTGTTTTCTAAACGAGGTTAAAAACTTATTCAAATTAAAATTAATTTAGAAAACAAATCAAGCTTAAACGAATTGAACTCAAATCAAACTCAAATTAAACTCGAATAACTCAATTTTATTAACAGCTCAACCTAAGGGCCCAATAATAGACCCGCCCATGATTAGTTGTTTTCTCAAGTTTTTCTTCAACATTAAAACAAAAAGGAAAAAGGGTCTACTTATAACTCATCCGAAAGGAAAGCTTTTGAAGATTTGACACTTTCACCATCTCTTGATTATGACCTAAATTTAAAACGTAATAAAAAAATTTAAAAACTTATTCTAACATTTGACTCAAACTTATACTAAATTAAAAAAAAAATCTCATTTTTTTACTCAAATCAAAAAAAACTTAAATCTTTACTCAAATCTTTAATAGTGAAATTTCACTCTCTTTTAAAAATTCAATGATCATCTTTATTCTTCTTTAAATTTGAGTTTGTCTTAATTTGAATTTGAATTTCTTCTTCTTTAAATTTGAATTTGTCAATTGAAACCCTTTATATCAAATCAAATTTTTTTTCTTAAATATAAACTCAAATTTAAGTCAAAGTTAAAAATACTCTTACAAGAAGACATATGAAAAGGAAAATGTTATACTTACCAAATCTTTCATCTTAAATGACGTGGCATAATCTTTGTCATTGAATATTAATGAGACTCACTCATCTGGTAGTAAAAAATTGTATCACATTATTATAGATAAAAATTTAATTAAAAAATTGTGTATGCATAGCATTACCCAGAAAATTAGCTAGGCAGAGAGAGATTTAAGGATCTGTGTTGCTGATTGTGCAACTCTACGTGGGTCGACCAGCTAGACGAATGCCCTTCTACGCCTTTGGATGCCAAATGCAATCCACTAACAATACCACGACGTTNTAAGACTGCTAGTTGAATGATTCTGAGCCGAGTTCAAATCGAGCTTAAAAAGTCTGTTTTTTAATTGAACCTAAAAAATTGTTCAAATTCAGCTTGTTTCCTAAACGAGGCGAGACTGAATGAGCTAAAAACAAGTCGAATCCGAGTCAAACTCAAGTCTTTGCACATAAAAGAGTCGAGTCTGTAGAGTTTGAATAGAATTTATAGGGCTTGTTTTCTAAACGAGGTTAAAAACTTATTCAAATTAAAATTAATTTAGAAAACAAATCAAGCTTAAACGAATTGAACTCAAATCAAACTCAAATTAAACTCGAATAACTCAATTTTATTAACAGCTCAACCTAAGGGCCCAATAATAGACCCGCCCATGATTAGTTGTTTTCTCAAGTTTTTCTTCAACATTAAAACAAAAAGGAAAAAGGGTCTACTTATAACTCATCCGAAAGGAAAGCTTTTGAAGATTTGACACTTTCACCATCTCTTGATTATGACCTAAATTTAAAACGTAATAAAAAAATTTAAAAACTTATTCTAACATTTGACTCAAACTTATACTAAATTAAAAAAAAAATCTCATTTTTTTACTCAAATCAAAAAAAACTTAAATCTTTACTCAAATCTTTAATAGTGAAATTTCACTCTCTTTTAAAAATTCAATGATCATCTTTATTCTTCTTTAAATTTGAGTTTGTCTTAATTTGAATTTGAATTTCTTCTTCTTTAAATTTGAATTTGTCAATTGAAACCCTTTATATCAAATCAAATTTTTTTTCTTAAATATAAACTCAAATTTAAGTCAAAGTTAAAAATACTCTTACAAGAAGACATATGAAAAGGAAAATGTTATACTTACCAAATCTTTCATCTTAAATGACGTGGCATAATCTTTGTCATTGAATATTAATGAGACTCACTCATCTGGTAGTAAAAAATTGTATCACATTATTATAGATAAAAATTTAATTAAAAAATTGTGTATGCATAGCATTACCCAGAAAATTAGCTAGGCAGAGAGAGATTTAAGGATCTGTGTTGCTGATTGTGCAACTCTACGTGGGTCGACCAGCTAGACGAATGCCCTTCTACGCCTTTGGATGCCAAATGCAATCCACTAACAATACCACGACGTTAGACTGATTAAATTTTGGAATTAAATTTAAAATTTAAATGACATCACGGTTAACTTAGGTTTTTTTATTTGGTGTCATGTCATTTAGGCTCCAATAAAAACTTCAAATAATATGCTACCATGTCATTTGGGTTCCAAATTTTGTCCTAAAATTTGATCAGTGTAGTATTACTCAGTACTCTTAACAAGGTCTCGACTACAGTACCCATAAAAAAAGTATCGTATCTTTATAATATATTATTTTAATAAGTGTTTTTATAATTTTTATTGATTATTTTATAATTAAAAAATTTATTATTTTTATGAGTAATTTATCGTATTTATGAATATTTTTATTATTATTATATTTGTTTTTGCAATTGTTGTTATAACCATTTTTATTTCTTTTAATTAATACTAGTTAATGAACACGTGCTTTGCACGTGAATAATTTTGAGTACCAATATTACTTGTACTATTTTTTATAACAATTTTTTATTAAAAAAACTTATTTTGAAATATTTTTCTAAACCAAAAATCATTTATGAAACTCAAATGAAAATTGTTATTATTATTAATACTATTATTACCTTGTAGTTCTTGTATTGCAAAGCAATTATATGTCACTGTTCACCATGAAGACTATCAATTCAAATTATGCTTAAGTGATGAAGATACTTATTTAGTAATTAAGGATCTATATAAGCCAATTGTAAAATTGACATATGAACTTTTGTGCAACTAAGCCCTTTATTTTTGCAACTAAACCAATTGTTCTTCTGATTAGATAGTTGGTGAGAGTAAAAGTTGCAACAGTTAGTAAATTTTTCAGCATAATAAATTCTTCATTGTGGTGAACTACATATTAAGCCATAGGTTCAGAAAGCCACTCACTCACAAATTGTATTGTTTCCAATCTATCTTTGATACTAAGAAGATTTGTTATATAAAATTGAATTTCGTATTTGAGTAACACTCTAATTTTATTTTATTACCAACCAGCTGACCAATTACGTGCTATGTGATTTTCGAATTCTTTTCTCCACTTTTTTTTTTCCATACACGTTATTTGTTATTTAGTGTCTGATTGAAAATACCTAATGGTTAGAAAAACTTATTAATTAAAATACTTACTAGTGCA